ATGGAGCGATTACCTTGACGGAGGCGAACTAGGCTATCTGCTGGGTTCATTTTGGAGGTCGTGTATTCTGTAACGAATAATCCACTGAAGGCAAGTTGAAGTGTGAACCCAAGTGCAGTTTATTTGTAAAGGTGATCTAAACATCCAAACAATAATCCGAGACTTGACTTGACATGAACAGACTTGACTAGAACAGAATTGACGAGGCATGAACAGACTTGACTAAAACAGACTTGACTTGGCATGAACAGGACTCACCAACAGCAGAGTTACAACATCAATACACGACAAGGGCACAATGGGAACATGAAGGCTACTTATAGCAGACAAGAGGGTCACAAGACAAGAACAAACCAATGGGAAACAAGACACATGACTAAGACAACCAATCAGAACATGACACAATGAACAGAGGAACCAATGACATGAATACATGAGGGCAAGGGAAGCATGACACAAACAGGGACCATGACTAAACTAAATAATAAAAGACATGAACATGAACATGAAACAAAAACAAAACCCAAACCCCACATTACAATATCTTTATCATTTAAATTCTTTTTTTTTTTTTGGTCAATGCTTATTTCCATACTATTTGTGTTTAGAATTTATTTAAAGTCATTTTATTCAGTGAGAAAAATGTAAAAAAAAGAAGAAAAAAAAAGATCAATTTTCACTAGAGGTCTCAAACCTTTGGACCCCACTTTATTTTTAATTTCCCTTGGCATATTAAGGGTACATTTTCATTGCATCTCCAGTAGATACAGTAAATCATATAAATTTAACCTTATTCAATCTCTCTCTTATTTTATCTGCAGAAACTACCTCTTCAGACTGAATCTAAACAACATTTCACTAATTCAGGTGAGACACAGACCTACAGTGCTTATAAATGGTCAGCATTCTCTACTAGATGATGATTCCTGTTTGATGTGGTCTTTGTGACTTTATATAAGGCCGTCTGTCAGGCCTTTGGGTGTTAGAGAGGGCTGGCTTATGGTTATTGATATTGAAATGAATGGGTCAGTTCCCAAAACTGCCTGGACAGACTTCAAAGAAAGCAGCATTGCCCGGCACAGAGAGCAAGGGGCGTCTTAGCGAATGTACCAAGTTTCTAGTCTGGCTTGGAGCTAAAACCTCTCAGAAGGTCAGCCAGGACTGTCTGAGGTCTAAATAAAGCAGTGAAATGAGACTGTGGTGGCTTTCCCACCTGTTGCTGCTGTTGTATATATCTCTTTTATTCCCCCAGTAATCTCTGTGCCGTGTCTCGTAGCTACCAGACATTTATTGAATGCTCTCACTCGCAGACCACTCATAATGTTTCATGCATGAAGCAGCTTTTGGTTGAAGACTGAATAAAATTTGAGTATCAGTCGCTTTCATTCTCTCTCAGATACCCAGCACACATCTGAATGCACAACAAATAGGAGCTAAATAAGCCACTCCATTCACATATTCCCATGTCTGCGTCTAGTGTTTTGTTTCAATGACGTTACTAAATTTGCAGCAGTTTTCTCCACTGTCCCAGTGGAGAGGATTAGGTGCAATTTCATTTTCCTCCATCTCACCTTCGCCTCTGTATCTCTCCTGGGCGATTCCAAACTGTGAATAAACAAGGCAGATCTTTCTTCATTTCGACTAACCGGAGCATCACAAGGGGAGGCAGGGTCCAAATCGATGAGCAACATTTTGCCAGCTTTTGAGAGTGTCTTTGCCTAAACTGCACACAGAGGGAGAAAATTAAAATAGGCATATGTTATTAAAGGATGAAGAATGAGACACTGGTGACAGAATTGACCTGACAACACTAAGCATGGGTTCTTGAATTGTAACCAAATCACAAAACACCATAATAATACATTTAGTGTTTTTACAATAATGCTGTCAGGATTATGGACTATTCTGTGTGTGTTTTTGCCCCTGTGACCCAGTTTCTTCCTCATGTTGATTGTGTTCATTTGATTCAAGGTGTGTCTCGTTCCTACCTAATTATCCTGCCTTTAAAAGCCCTAGTCCTTTCGGTTCTTTTTTGTCGGGTCTACTTGTTGAATGTCCTCCTTGTTCTTGGTTTTCCTGTGGATTATTAAAGACTGTGTTATTCAAGTACTCCTCGTTTCCTCGTTCCTTGCTCCCCGAGTGAATTGTGACAGAAGACCCGACCGATACAGTTACCTCCGTTTGTACCCTCTTTTTTGTTTATCTTTTTACTCAGTTTTTTGTTTCCGTTGTGTGCCCTATGGATCCCCTCCTTCGCCCCGAATTCATCCTCCTCCTGCTGGAGCAGGGGGGAAATTCGCTCGAGGGTCATACCAGACTGTTTCTGGCTGTGGCCCATCTCACCACTTATCTGGACGACGCGCTCTGCGCGTTCTATGACGCTAGCCTCAACACCGCGTGCAGAGCGCCGTCATCTGAAGATGGCCCTCGAGCTGAATTCGCCACCTTTGTGGAGTGGACACTGGCGAGATATGGATCTCCGTTCCCCGCCGGTTCCCAGGAATGAATCGCCAGTGCCACTCCCGACCCAGAACCCAGCCCACCATCTCCCCGATGCACGGAGCGCATGCCCGAGCCCACCGCTGACGGAGAGCCAGAGCCCGCCGAGAGAGCGACAGAGCTGAGGATCGCCGCGGAGCCAGAGGCCGTGACGTCAGTCAAGGTGTGTGAGCCAGCAACAGCGCCTGCCACGAGGGAGAAAGCCACAAACGGTGTGAGCGCGGAGAGGAGCTCCGCCCCCTGCACCGCGGCTGAGGGTGAGCTGAGTATGGCGGGGCGAAAGTGCCAAGAGGACGAGGAAAGGGTTCCAGCCCCTGAATTCAGTTCAGAGCGCCCTCCTGTGGCCGCTCCTCGAAAATGCTTGCCCTCCCACCCGCTCCAGCCTCCTCCACCGCTGTCGTCTGGCAGCTCCTCTGCTCGCCCTCAGCCCACCGTCATTGCGGTGCGAGCCCCGCGGGACTGCCATCCTCCAGCGTCGCCGTGGCTGGAGTCTCCCTTGACTCCGCCTCCAGCCTCCGAGGCCTGGGGCTCCACCGTGGGTCGACATCATGGCTGTGGCCTGGGTCCTGCTCTGCTCCTCTTGCTCCGGGTCCCTCCTGTCTCCTCCCTAGCTCCTCCCTCATTCGTCGCCCCCCTGGTCTCTGTCTGCCGGCCTCCTCCCGGATATCAGTCCTCCTCCGGAACCTCCTCCCAAGTTCTCACCCACACCTCCCTCTGTTGTTGCTACAGTGCGAGGACGCACCTTCCGGGAGGGGGCGTTATGTCAGGATTATGGACCATTCTGTGTGTGTTTTTGCCCCTGTGACCCAGTTTCTTCCTCATGTTGATTGTGTTAATTTGATTCCAGGTGTGTCTCGCTCCTCCCAATTATCCTGCCTTTAAAAGTCCTAGTCCTTTCAGTTCTTGTTTGTCGGGTCTACTTGTTGAATGTCCTCCTTGTTCTCGGTTTTACTGTGGATTAGTGTGTGTGTGTTATTCAAGTACTCCTCGTTTCCTCGTTCCTTGCTCCCCGAGTGAATTGTGACAAATGCCATGAAATGGAAAATCAAACAAAATTACAGAGGTTGCCCTTTCATAGCTCCTGAGACTAAATTGAGTTCTTGTTCTTAATAACATTGATGGAAAAACTTTTAGTTTACACTACTGTTCAAAAGGGTCAGTCACTTTTATTCAGCAAAGACACTTTAAATTGATAAAAAATGACAGTGAAGACTTTTACATTGTTACATAAAAACAAAGTGCTGGTCTTTTGAACTTTCTATTAATCAAAGGATCTTGCAAAAAAAAAAAAACTAGAGTAATGGCTGCTACAAATTCAGATTTGCCATCACAGGAATAAATTGCATTGGAAAATATATTACAATAGAAAACGGTTTTAAATTGTAATATTTCACAATATTACTGTTTTACTGTATTTTTGACCAAATAAATGCAGCCTTGAAGAGCTGTCTAGAGAGAGATGTCTTTCAAACACACTACAAAAATATTTTCAACCCCAAACATTTGAATGGTGATATAATGGCGATATTAATTTTTTAGTGTTAATTTAATTTTTTATTGTTATTATCTAATAAAAAATAATTACAATTAAATAATTAAATAGATTTCTCTTGTGCTTTTAAATTCTTTATAGAAATGTTCTATGATTATAAATTAGTAACAAAAACTGCAGTAACCAACTAGTATTTTGACAGATGCAACCATGAACATTTTTGTTAGAATTTCAGCACCATATATCACATCTTGTAGCTAGAGATTCTGTTATATGCTTTCATTTTATTCTTATAATAAGCCATTGTTACTGAGCACATTGATATCTGTATAGTATCCTCTCTTATTCATTCATTGCTATCACATTCACACGTTCTTCATCTTTTCATCCTGCTCGCTGTACTTTTGTCCACACTCCCACCTGCGTGCCACCTCTCTCAGTCTCCTTTTGTCCTTCTCCCCACACCATTAGAGCTATCCTGCATCTTTCTGCCAGGAGTGTAATGGGGCTGACAGAAAGCCAGCTCATCTCAGAAATGTATGTCTTGGTGCCAAACACGCAGCCGTTGGCAGGGGAGAGCAACAGCTCAGGCGAGCCTTTTTAACTTTACCCAGGCTGGGGTGAAAAAAGCTGATTCTTACCCTCTGAATTATTCACTGCGCTGACCCATGGGTACGCACCTGCTATCCTCATTTCCGTGAAACTATGAATAAGGGAAATTTGCCATGGCCTGGTATAACGTACGCTACCAGTCAAAAATTGGACACACTTGACTAAAGCTTTGTTTCTTAAGTGATTTTTAAATGCTTGAAAAAAATTACTGTAGTTCTTGGAATTATACAGGTCATAGACATATATAAATGCATGCATATAAAACATATAATTACATATATGTAGATATATACTACCAGTCAAAAATGCTCACCAGGGATTTATTCATGCATTTATTTGATCAAAAATAAAGTACAACAGTATTCTGAAATATTATTACAATAAAAAATCTCTTCTATTTTGATATATTTTAAAATATGATTTATTCCTGTGATGAAAAAGCTAATTTTTCACTGAGTCATTACACAGTGTGATATGATCCTTCAGAAATCATTGTAATGTCCTAACTTGGTGCTTAAGAAACATTTATTATTAATAATGTTGAAACTGGTATTGTAATAATATTTCACAATATTACTGTATATTTACAGAATTTTGATCAAATAAATGCATCCTTTGTGAGCATAAGATACTTCTTTCAAAAACATTTTTAAAAAACCCTTAACAAACTAATAACAAAATTTTGGTCTGTAGTATGTATGTACATATAAAATATATAAATAAAATATTACAAATATTATTATATTATTGTGTGTTTTATGTATTATGTATTTTATGGTTATTATTATTTAAAATTCTTAAATTTATTTATTATGTATTTTATTATTAGTTTTATTATTATTTAAAATTCTTAAATTTATTTATATTTTTTAATTAGGTTTATTTATATAGAAAAATATAATTAAATTTTTTATAGATATTTTTGGACCATATAGTTAAATATGTTTAAAAAAAATATTTCTTTAACTCTCATACTATACTTCCATTTCGATTCTGAAATTTGAATTCGGAAACCATTTGACTGGTATTGTAACTAGGCACTTTGAACATCAGCAATTTGATTTTCAACAACTGCTTTGTGAATCAACCCAGGATGCACAGAAATTATTTATAAATGAAGATCATTTATCTACACCATGTTTTTGTAACTACCACCATTGTCAAAGCATTAGACTTTTCCCAGGATCCCAAACCCGTCTATCCTGAGACAGTGTTTTTTTTTCCGGTGAGATCAGTGCGTGCTGTCTGTGCACACTGTGTTGCT